GGGGCGGGTCTGAATTCTTTCACTGAAGATTGTATTATGAGGTTTAGTATCAGTGCTTGTAGCAACAACAGTTCATTTTCATGGGTACACAGTATATTCTCTTGTATACCACTATTTATTTATTCACTCTACTGTTGACAGATACAGGCATCATGATCATAATCTCTCACTATGAAACTCATACACAATATCCAAGGGAAATGTGAAGTAGCAACATAAATGATATTTAGAAATACAGAAGTAAATTGCAGAACTACTTTACTACATTCACTCTTCAAAAATAATTTTTTTAAAAGACACAATTCTATGATATTCCTATATATACTACTTCCCAGATACTTAAAAACACACACTGAATTTCCATCATTGTAGCAAACATAATTTCTTATAGCAATTACATCAAAAAAATTTTATACTACCTAGGGGAAATTATAAGTAATTTTATTCCATTTCAATTCTATCAATGTAAAGGTTGGATATTCAGATTTAGGCAGATTGTAGGGGGAGAAAAAAACAGGAAAACAGGCCACCATTTTGCATCCAATTATAAAAAGACAACATTTTGCATATTTGCTCAAGTTTACACTCAATGCACCTATGCAAATGACAGCATCTTTATCTGTTATGTAAATAATAGAAACCTCAAAGATTAAATATGTTGGTTTTATTTATTTATTTTTATTTATTTTTTTTTTTAAATACATTTTATTGATTTTTTACAGAGAGGAAGGGAGAGGGATAGGGAGTTAGAAACATCGATGAGAGAGAAACATCCATCAGCTGCCTCCTGCACACTCCCCACGGGGGATGTGCCCGCAAGCAAGGTACATGCCCTTGACCAGAATCGAACCTGGGACCCTTGAGTCCGCAGGCCGACGCTCTATGCACTGAGCCAAACCGGTTAGGGCAAATATGTTGGTTTTAAACAGAGTAGTATATGCTTTTAAATCAGATAAAAACAAGTAACTTTTCCCCATTAGGCTATCAGCAGATTACGGGACAGGCCTGGAGTGGAATGACACTCAAAATATTGAAAGGTAAGAACTGCCAGTCAAGAATAATCTATTTAACAGTTAACCTTCAGATATAAAGAAGAAACCAAGGCGTTCCCTGATAAACAAAAGCAAATAATCTTAGAATAATCTGTAAAAAAACCCTCTTATGTACCTCAAAATTATTACTAAAAATCTTTTTAAGAAGCCATTTTTAACATAAGTATGAAAAATTTCAGCATATATATATATAAAACATCTTATGAACAAGTCAAGGATTTTAACACCATTACATCACAATGTTCACACCTAGAGGAAGGAGCCATTTTTTAGAAAAGCTTGATATTTAAAAAGTAATAAATCTTACCTTAATGCACGACTGAGTTTCTCATAGTTCATTGTAGGTTTATTTTTACGTTGTCCCCATTTTTGTGCAACCAGTTCAGGCTGATTTAGTTTAAACTCGCCTTCATCACCAACCCAAGAAATGCAGTCTCGAGCATCCTTGTCAGTAAGAAGTTCTAGCAAAAACTGCCACAGTTGAATCTGGCCATTATTTCCTAAATTGACAGGGACAAGCATTGACCAAAGTGCTATGAATTAAAAGAGGGCAAAAGGCAACAAACAGGCTCTCTGGTTTTTAGCTCAACCATGCTAAAAGCAGTTTTTTCCAAAAACTGTCTAAGCACTGCCAGAGAAATAGGCCATACTCAGATTTTCACATCCTATATAATAAAAAGCCTAATATGCTCAGTGTCCGACCATTCGTTTGATCAGTCACTATGCTATGCACTGACCACCAGAGGGCAGAAGCTCCAACAGGTAGGTTAGCTTGCTGCTAGGGTCTGGCCGATCGCCCTTGGAGCCCTTCCACGGTCCCTCCCCGGCCCCAATCATGCACCAATGGGGTCCCTCGGCCTAGCCTGCACCCTCTTGCAATCCGGGGCCCCTTGAGAGATGTCAGAGAGCCAGTTTCTGCCCAATCCCTGCAGGCCAGGCTGAGGGACCCCATGGGTGCACAAATCCGTGCACTGGGCCTCTAGTAGTGAAATAAAACAAAATATACATAATTTGATAAATATTATAAATACCAGATGAGAATGCAAAAATACCTGTTCTGTTCCCAGGTGAACTTCTATCTTCTCCTGAAATCCTTGGAGCTCTTTGTACTTTAGCTGCCTTTGCACTGCTGTTTATACCTTTAATGGTAGTTGGTGTTGCAGACTGAACTGATGCTGGAATAATTTGGACAGCTGCAAATAAAGACAAGGGAAAAAACTGTTTCCACTTCTAATACAAGCAAGAAAAAAACTACTGAAAGACATAAAATGCAATTAAGTTTACATCAACAAAAGGCCTCATTTCAAAAAGCCTTAATCCACAAGTTTTAAACAAAATTACAAAAAAAGTTCCAAGGATAAGGTATGATGTTTGTTTGCATTACGGTTCATGAATCTCAACTTAGTAAGAGTTGGTCTTATTTTTTAAATAACTTAGTGATGTATATACAGTCTTAAAATATTTGTTCATTAAAACTGGTTTATCAAATGCTGGAGAAAATGTGGACAAATGAGGACTCACATTCCACTACTGATGAGAGTATAAACTTATACCACCACTTTGAGGAAAAAACTGGTAATACCTAGTAAGCTTGAAAAGGTAGAAACTTGATGATACTACAATCAGAGAATCTCATGTATATTCTGACAAATGCTTATTCAGTGATGTTGACAAAGTTGAATATACAGCAGTGGAAATGAATGAAATCGAGCAGTAAGTATCAACATGGCTAAGTCTCATACCTTTACCCAAAAAGTTTAAATGTGCAAAACAATGCTATAAAGTATTTATGGTTACATAATTGGTAAAAATCTACATAGAACGATAAACATCCACTTCAGGATAGTCATTTAAAATGGGATCTACAACTGGTAAAGTTTAGATTTTACATATAAAGATTTAGTTTTTAATAGGTATGGTGTTATGGTATATAAATGGTGGTTATCGTTTATTTTTTCTTTGTATATCTAAAATACTTCATAAATATTTAGTTTGTTCTTTTTTTTTACTACCTCACAGTACTGAATAAAGGAAACATTTCTTATTGATAAATGGGCCGTATATTATGGGCATGAATACTCACGTTGATCAATAGTAACTATCTCGTTCATCTGTTGTTCCTGGCTTGCCAATACATCTGAAGAACACACATAATTTATTTTCATTTAAAACCAGAATGTAAACCCCAATCCAGTAAAATTGAACTTAATAAATTTGATCCTTTTATAAGAAACTCCACAATTACAAGGAAAACCAAACAAACAAAAAAGCAAAACATTAAACAATTGAAACTTACTGGCATGATAACTTTAAAAAATAATTGATAATCACTTTATAACGAACAGATATTTTTAAGAGAAGTAGCAGGGAAAGCTTCAATTTCTTTCAGAGTTCATTATTCAGAGAGTAATTTCTAATGTAAATATCTATATCTAAATCTATTTATCTATCTATATAAAACCATGTAAAACATGAAAATCTTCATTATCAGATCAGAAAAGAGACTATATACCACATTGAAATTATTTATATATACTCTTTAAAAAGGCTCCCTCAAGATGATCTGAGAAATCTTCATAATTTAATAATTTGTTCTAATATCCACTTTTTAATAACACTGCTTTAATTTGATAATGCTTTAAAGACAGATACATTTTCAATAAAACTGTAAATGTCCTAAATGTCACAACTGAACTAGATAATTTAACATGTCTACAAATACAGCTCCCAACATAAGAGTACATTGTAAACGGCCCTAACGTAACCCATTAGAGAACCATTCGTTACTCATCTATTGCTATTCCTTACTCAGATGCTATTCTTTACCTCTCCAACAAGAGGAATGCTTCCCAATCTCTATTACTTTAGCCTATTTACTGCCCATTATTGTTCCGAAGCTTCTGTCTTGAAATTGAATTGTACCCACCAGCAATCATATGTGTACTGACAGTGAGTTCTGAGACCTGGGCTCCCAACACAGTTCTACTTAGGGCACCATGCCAGGACCCAGTTCCAGACATACAGAGCTGGAAAGGGCTGGGGAACTAAAAAGAAGTCTGAATCCCACCTGTCAGATGGAAGTTTTCTTTGGGGGTCCTGAGTTTGGGAGTTTAAACAACATGGAACTAGCCTAGGAGAGATCTGGATTTTGATCTGAGCACTCACTCACTGGATGTGTGACTTTGGTTAAGTTATTCAACTAACTTGAACATTAATTCATGTTTAAATGAGATATCCTCAACCTACCACCTCATGAGGTTGTCCTGAGGATTAAAAGCAAATATTTTCAGGAACACAGTGCCTGAAACATAGTTAATTTTTCAGTAAACTGAAGATGCTACCGTTTTATCCAGATTCCTAGTTTTGAGTATTTTCCCCAAGAACTGCTGTCTGCCTTGAAGAAAAATCCATGCCTTATGTTTGTGGCAGATCTCCCCCTCACCACCAAATTTTATAAAAGTACCTTGAAGAGGTAAAAGGTGCTACTGAAATGGAAACTGTTCTATTTGTGACTATAAATGAACAAAGGTGCCCTAGCCTAAAAAGGCAAAAGAGAGAGTCACCATTACATAGCACAGGCATGACCAACCGATAAGATTAGCATCTAAGCCCTAATTCTCAGAAAGAGTTTCATCTTTTTCCTGGGATCTCTCAAAACCGAAGGCACAACATGGACAGAGAGAGGTTTTTGAAAGCTTATAATAAGACCATATAGGCACTCTGTGATTTGCAGCCTTAATACAGAGATTAAATAAGATAATACATATAAAACTCTTACCACAGCCTTATCCAGTTAATAAATGTTAAGTATTATTGCTATTATCAATAAAATAAGCAATTACGATAACAAAGGTAAAAAAATAAAATTAAACCTAAGTTACAATGTAAATAGATAATAACTCCAATTCATACATTTTCGAAGAAGCTCCAGATGACTCCAGAGAATTTCTCCCCGAGGGACCCGTTGAAAAAAATCTTCTTGGTTGAGACTACATAATTCTCGTCCTGAAATGTTGAGTGTGCTGAGGTCTATATCAGTCATGCTGAATTCCTTCATGACCCAAACTACCCAATGTAAGACTTGGTCTGTAGACCACTGTATAGGATCTAAAAAGAAAAAATATTATCATTAGCCTACTTTCATCTTAGATATTATATACATTTACAGTTAACTTGTCAACACACACACACACACACACACACACACACACACACACACACACAATCCAAACAGCCTTTTTCTTCCAAGTAAGTAAATAAACAGTAAACAGTATATAAAGTAAAAAGATTTTTATGCTACATTTTCTTGGTAGCTATTTTTCAATTTCTTAATCTAAATTTTTGATGGATTCCCATGGTTATACATCAGTTAGTCTGAAATTTTATCAAGAAAAACAAAATGCTAAATTGCTCTCCAGTGGGCCAACTGGAATAATATATGTGATTATGGAGTAAGATATCCAAGTTTAAAAAATTGTCCTGTAGCAGTGTAGGATTTGGTGCACTGAAAAAAAAAGGGGGGGGGGGAGTTTCTAAGGAGCTAACTTATCCAAAATGTGAACCAAGTACTCATTCCTCCCATCCACTTCTTGTAAAAAGCTGGCAGCTCTGCATTTTCCCTTATGGTGGCACTTACCATATAACATGCTAACTGCCTCTTTACTTAGCTTTCTTCCCCTATAATTCATTAAGGTCTTAAATACAAGGACTGTGTCATGTAAACCATTCTATCTTCAAAACTTACAGTGCCTTGTGCATACATTTGTTGAATTTACAAAAGGTGAATCCAAGTAATTTCATGTCCTCATCACTTTTTATTGATTAAATTCACAAATGAAAAAATGGCCAACACATATAAATATTTCATTGTTGTATCCCTGGGACCTAACAGCATTCTACCCAGAGAGGTTTAATAAATACTAGCTGAATTAATTTTGGTATAGGTATTGATGCATGGAGATGATCAATCCAAATGATAGTGGTTATATGCCATCAAGATGCATGCTATTCAATATGAAAATAAGTGATAAAAATAACATTTAGGTACTTATCAAGAGCCAATTTATAGTAAAATGAACATAATCAATATAAGAATACAGGACTAATAACCACAGAATTGATTATTTTGATTTTTCACAAAGAAGTTAAGGAAGGAGGATTCTGAGAAGATAGCAGCAGTTTTAAATTTCTCTGAATTTAAAAAAAAAAAAAATCACTAAAAGCAACTAGAGCCCTAACCGGTTTGGCTCAGTGGATAGAGCGTCGGCCTGCAAACTGAAAGGTCCCAGGTTCGATTCCGGCCAAGGGCCCAGTAGGAGGTGTGCAGGAGGCAGCTGATCGATGTTCCTCTCTCATCAGTGTTTCTAACTCTCTATCCCTCTCCCTTCCTCTCTGTGAAAAATCAATAAAATATATTTTAAAAATAAATAAATAAAAATAAAAGCAACTAGAGAGCAAAACAAAAAATACATTAATATTTACAATAAAACCAGGAGATAAGTTATCCCTTGGACCCCAAAATACATGCAAGGTGAAGGCAAAGCAGTAATAGGCACAAGCCCTCCATAGTACCAGCATCTGTGCAGGAGAATGCACAGGGAGAAGCAAAGAGACATCTCACATTATCCATTGTGAGTGCAGGAAAGCCTGAACACTGTCAGGAAGTATTCATTAAAAGCACAACAGGCCAAGGTGAAAGGAGCAACTCAAAGTAGTTTTGCCCAGTCCAACAGCAGTGAATACAAAGGTCTGTGGTAAGGTTTAAGGGGCTAGAGCAGTGTAACACCTGTGACTTTTTCAAACTGAGCCAAAATCACTTCTAGAGATTGGCCACAAAGGAGAAACTGGTGGGAGAGGAATTCAAACTGAGTACAAGAAAAAGGAAAGAGCAGGACCAGGTAATAAAAGTGGAGTAAGGAAACAGACAGGAATTGAGAAACAAGTGGCTCTGTATTTGAATACTACTTAAAAATAAGAGAGGAGGGGGTGCAAATGGTTAGAAAAACTATGCTAGACCATTCTTCTCTTTAAGAGAGCACCCTAGCTAATTACGCTCAGTGGAAAGAGTGTCGGCCCATGGACTGAAGGGTCCCGGGTTTGATTCCAGTCAAGGACATATACCTTGGTTGCAGGCTCAATCCCCAGCCGTGGTTGGGGTGTGCAGAAGGCAACCAATTAATGTGTCTCTCTCACATTGATGTTTCTCTCTCTGTCTCTCCCCCTCCCTCCCACTCTCTCTTAAAAAAAAAAAAATCAATGGAAAAATATACTCAGGTGAGGATTAACAAAAGTCTATGAAAGTTCATTTTAGATAAAAGGAAACAAAAAAGTACCAAGATCTAAAAAGTTAGGAGAAAATAGAAATAGTCTGATTTGTTTTCTGAAATAACTAGAGGCCTTGTGCAAAAAATTCGTGGGGCAGCAGTGGGGATTCCCTCAGCCCAGCCTGTGCCCTTTCACAGTCTGGGAGCCCTCGGGAGATGTCCGACTGTGGAGAGCGGGCCTAAGCTGCAGTCGGACATCCTTAGTGTTACTGCAGAGGCGGGCTGCTGCACTCACTAGCCATCAGCCCGGCTTGTGGCTGAGCGGTGCTCCCCCTGTGGGAGCGCACTGGTCACCAGGGGGCAGCTCCTGCATTGAGCATCTGCCCCCTGGTGGTCAATGCGTATCATAGAGATCAGTTGTTCTGCCATTCGGTCAATTTGCATACTACCCTTTTATTATATAGGATATCAGTACTTCTGGTTTGACATTACTAATTGGCTATGCTTGCTTCTTTTCTCAAAGACTCCTGTAAATGATAGTAAAGGACTTTTTAAGAGATGAAAACTCATAGGAATATAGCTGAGAAATGTCAGAAATGATTTGGGAGATTTCCACAAATTTTTTGAAGACAATAAGCAGAGTGAAAAGCCAGCAAAGTAGGAAAAGCTATAACCTAAAAGATCTATCAAGGAGAATAACAATTAAGTGAAAGTATTCCTGCCTACAGAACTCCTACTGGCTCAGGTCATGGTGGTTCCAATTGGCAGGAGAGGTTTAAGTGAAACATGTGGAGACTGATTTAAAGTATCTGGTGTGTTTAGTACCTGCAGGGCCTCTCCTTCATTCTCAGGAGCCAACTGAATGGAAGCATCCCCACACACGTGAAAACCAGGGAGAGAGACAAAGCACAGACTGAGAAAACTGAACTCAGTAAAAAAAAAAGTCTAAAAACTGAGGAGTGAGTCCTAGCCGGTTTGGCTCAGTGGATAGAGTGTCAGCCTGCGGACTGAAGGGTCCTGGGTTCGATTCTGGTCAATGGCATATGCCCAGGTTGCAGGCCCGATACCCAGTAGAGAGCATGTAGGAGGCAGCAGATGGATGATTCTCTCTCATCGTTATTTCTCTCTCTCTCCCTTCCTCTCTGAAATCAATAAAAATCTATCCTATATAACAAAAGCATAGTATGCAAATTGTCCCCTCAACAGGCGTTCTTCCAGGAGTTCGACCAGGGGGTGGGAGAAAGGGCAGGGCCAGTTGGGGAAAGGGAGGGAGGCCCCGGCCAGCACCCAGCAGCTGCTAGGGACCCTACCAGTGCACAAATTTCATGCACTGGGCCTTTAGTTTTAAATAAAATAAAATCTAAAAAAACTGAGGAGTGATACCCTCTCTACCTCCCCACCTTCCATGTCCCTTTCCACTTCCAGAATGCAGCATTCACATCCACATTAACCCTAATTCCTCATGTCAACCTTCTATTCCTGAGAGATTTTTGGCCAATTCTTCAGAGAAGTTTAAGAGACCCAAGAAACAAATCTATACATAATAACACTTGACAATCTTTTTTTTTTTTTAAATCCTCACCTAATATGCTTTTACTGATTTTTAGAGAAAGGAAGGAAGGAAAAGAAGGAGGGAGGTAGAAAGAATGAGAGAGAGAGAGAGAGAGAAAGGGAAACATCAATGTAAGTGAGAAACATCACACACACACTCCAACTGGGGTTTTATAATGCTACAAAACAATTTCTTATCCACTACCTCTCCTCACTACTCATGCACACTCCCACTTCCCAGTTTTCCACATACTTTCCCTGTCAGGAATGTCCTTCTCTATCCAATAATTTCTTTGTCTAGAATAAATCCCACTATGACCTGTTTGAGATGCTAATAGCATGTAACAGTTTAAAAACACATTATCATTATGGAAATTACCTCTTTTCATCTACCTTCTCTCACTGCAACTACACTGTTTATACCCTAAGGGTATACTTTCTTTTTTACATACAATCATGTGCTGCATAACGATGCTTCAGTCAACAATGGACCACATTTATGACAGTGTACCATAAGATTATAACAGTACCTGAAAAATTCCTATCACCTAGTGACGCTCTAATGATTCTAACATTGTGTGGTACAACAGTTGCAAAAGCCAACAGCCATGGTTGAGATGGCAAATGCCTTAACCTGGGTGTGGAAGAGGAGGGCACCGCGGAGCTCCTAGAGGTGGTTTCCAAGGAACTGACTAATGAGAAGTTGTTGGATCTGGCACAGGAACGCATAGCTAAAGAAGCAGCAAGAGAAAAGGAAACTGCAGAAGAAAAAGAAACCCCGAAAAAACTGACAGTGAAGGGTTTAGAAGCTTTTGCAGACCTCAACAAGCTCCTTAAAAACTTTGAAAACATGAACCTCAACACTGAAAGGTTTCCATTAACAGAGAGGAATGTTCATTATGTTTACAAATAAACCTATGATAAAAATTTTTTTAAAAAGCAAACCACGATAGATATATTTCTAAAAAGAGTGACACCTCCTCAATAAACGCCGCAGGCAGGTCCTTCGGAGGTACTCCAGAAGAAGGCATTGCTATCATGGGAAATGACAGCACCATGGAAGGTATTTATTGCCCCTGAAGACCTCCCAGTAGAACGGACGAAATGCAGAGGTAGAAGACAGTGATTATGATGATTCTGACTGTGCAGGCCTCGGGTAATGCATGCGTTTGTCTTAGTTCTTAACAAAAGTTTAAAAAGTTAAAATAAAAAATTTAAAAAGCTTATAGAAGGATCTAAAGAAAATATTTTTGTACAGCTGTAAAATGTGTTCTTTAAGCTACGTGCTATTACAAAAGAGCTGAAAAGTTTTAAAAAATTAAAAGTAATAAAGATACAGGAAGCTAAGATTAATTTACTGGTGAAATAAGCTTTTCTGGTGAATTATGTGTAAAGAGATTACAACGTCTGTAATAGTGTATAGTAACTCCCTAGGCCTTCACAGTCACTCACCACTTATTCACTGACTCCCAACGAGCAACTTGCAGTCCTGCAAACTCCACTCGTGTGTATCATTTCTATCTTCTGTACCATATTTTCACTGTGCCTTTACTATGCTTAGATACACAAATACTTGCCATTATGTTACAATTGCAACCGGTGTTCAGTACAGTAACATGATATATTATGGGTCTACAGCCTAGGAGCAACAGAGTATCCCAGACAGTCTAAGTGTGTGATAGGCTATAGCCCAGTGATGGCGAACCTATGACACACGTGTCAGAGGTGACACGCAAACTCATTTTTTTGGTTGATTTTTCTTTGTTAAATGGCATTTAAATATATAAAATAAATATCAAAAATATAAATCTTTGTTTTACTATGGTTGCAAATATCAAAAAATTTCTATATGTGACACGGCACCAGAGTTAAGTTAAGGTTTTTCAAAATGCTGACACGCCAAGCTCAAAAGGTTCGCCGTCACTGCTATAGCCTGTATGTTTGTACATGTGCGCTCTGTGTTTGCACAATGACAAAACTGCCTAATGGTGCATTTCTAAGAATGTACCCCCATTGTTAAGTGAAGCCGGATTGTACTTCTTTGTATTCTTAGCACCCGGGACAGTATTTGTCCATCATGTGTTATGGTCCAAAAAAAGGAGAAATACAGAAAATCAATATTCTCCCTAAAAATTCTACATTTAAAACAAATTATAGCTTACCCTAGTATCTTCTATGTCAAGCTTAATTCTCATTATTCAACCTAACACGTAATTATGTATTTTCTTACCATACGGTATCCCAAGGCGTTCTTGCTCTTTCCTATAACCTTCCAGTGCGGCAGCCCATCTGGTCACTTGTTCCGAGGTTTCATCTGAAATGGTTGTAATGTGTTTTGTGCCATCAAGAGTTATCACTTGAGCTTCTTCAACAAGATGTGCTTCTGCTTCAGCATGATGAGCATCTGGATCAATGACTACTTCAACTGTTTCCGCAGGTTTAACAATTTCAAGGATGTTGAGCTTTGGTTCAATTCCTTTAACAGTGAATTAAAAAAATATCCAGATGAAAACATGAAATTCACTAACAAAATTTAGTTGAGTTATATGTTCTAAAATGGTAGAGCAAAACTCCATTTTAAATGTTTAGCAATCTGTCTAGAGAACTTAAGAGTCCTATTAAATGATAAAAATAACAATTCAATAGAACTTTGGTATTCTATATATATAAAAGGCTAATATGCAAAGTGTCCCCTCGGGAGCTCAACCAGGAGAACAGGAGCTCGATTGCACACTATGATGTGCGCTGACCACAAGGAGGTGGTGCGGAACATGGCGGATGACCAGCAGTGGTGACAGGGCGCTGAGGGAGCAAGGGAAGGAGGAGGCGGGGAGGCAGGGGGAACCGCGCAGTGGTGGCACACGGGCTGCGAGAGAAGGAGGGAAGGAGGAGACAGGGAGGTGGGGAACCTCATTGGCCCTGATCGCTGGCCAGGCCTAGGGGCCCTACCCATGCATGAACCGGGCCTCTACTCCTAAAGTGCTTAATATGTTAAGTGTCTGGTCGTCTGTTCAACCAATCAAAGCATAATATGCTGATAATATGCTAAGGCCGCTCAACTACTCGTTATGACATGCACTGACCACCAGGGAGCAGACAATCGACTGGTTGACCAGTCACTACGACATGCACTGACCAGCAGGGAGCAGACGCTCCGACCAGTAGGGTAGCTTGCTGCTGGGGTCCGGCCAATTGGGACTGAGCAAGACGGGCCAGACATGCCCTGGAGCCCTCCCGTGTCCCTCCCCAGTCCCGATTGTGCACCAGTGGGGTCCCTCGGTCTGGCCTGCGCCCTCTCACAATCGGGACCCTTCAAGGGATGTAGGAAAGCTGGTTTCTGTCCGATCCCACAGGACAAGCTGAGAGACCCCACCAGTGCACAAATTCATGCACCGGGCCTCTAATATTATGTAACAGTCAATTCATATTTCCTGATTTTGAGCATTGTACTGTGGTCATGTAAAAGAATTCCTTATTTTTAGAAAACGCATATATTTAGGAATAGAAGGGAAACATGTCTGCAACTTATTAGTAAATAGGTAAAAAAAAAAAATGTGGGGGTGAGGAAGAGAATAAAGCAACTTCCTTTGCAAAATTTCTCTTTTTGTACTAAACTGCAGAGTCTAGATCGCCTTGCAGCAAGGGTACCTAATGTGACTTAGGCTCTAGAATAGGGGTGGGCAAACTTTTTGACTCGAGGGCCACAATGGGTTCTTAAACTGGACCGGAGGGCCAGAACAAAAGCATGGATGGAGTGTTTGTGTGAACTAATAGAAATTCAAAGTAAACATCATTACATAAAAGGGTACGGTCTTTTATTTCAATAGTTTTATTCATTTCAAATGGGCCGGATCCGGCCCGCGGGCCGCAGTTTGCCCACGGCTGCTCTAGAACCACTGGCATGCGCCTTCTATTGAGAAATGCGTCAAGAGGGGATAAGCAGGCACATGGGATCCATTTTTTGGCTCCAGTGGAGCACTGAAAAGGAAGCATGGTTCTAGCTTATGGCAGGCAGGGCAATTGTCAGTCCTGCACTGCACTGTGGCTGAGTCATCTTAGAAAGCCAACTGGAACCTGTTCTTCCAGCCCTCTCTGTGATCCTGTTATTTACTACCCTACCTTGCTGATTAAACCAGGTAAAATGTGTGATACTATCTGTTTAACCTTGACAGATAATATAATTAATTCAAAAGCCTTAATATTTGGTTATAATATCACATTAAGTAATTTAGACAACCATCTAAAACACCCAAAACTTATGAAATTGAGTTCTCATATTAGAAAAACATGAGTACAGTTTTAAATAACTACACAAAAATTAACTTACCTTGGTAAGACATTACCTGTACACTAAGTTGTACAGTTCCATCTGTCTTTACTCCTTGGTCAAATAAACTTCGTTCTGGATCCAGCTAAATATGGGTAAAAGGAGTAAGATTATTCTCACATAATCATCTGGTTTAATAAAAATGGATATATCAAACTATACTTAACCACTAAAGTATACTAATTAAATTATAACACATTTAATTATTCAAGTTGTAATATCATGTAATTCTTTGCCAAAATTTAAAATATTTTAACCACTGTGTTAGTAATTAAGGACAACATAAAGAACAGAATTTATTTTAAATTACAGTTTTCTCTAGCTTTAGAGTCTAGTTTAGGATTTTAAATAATGCCCAAAAGCAACTGTTTATTCCATAAAAGTATTTAAAGTAGAAAACAATGCAATTTATGTTATTAAAAAGCAAAAATATTTAATTAGTGGGGACAATTTAAATAAATTTATTTATATAACTAGAGGCCTGGTACACAAAATTCATGCACGGGGGAGGGGGGATTTAGTCCCTCAGCCCAGCCTGCGTCCTCTCACAATCCGCCACCCCTCAGGGGATATCAGGCCAAAACTGGCAGTCAGACATCTCTCTTGCAATCCAGGAAGCTGCATGCACCAGTGACCATACTTTTCATACAGGTGAAAGGCATCTTGCTGTTGTATGGGCAACTACATTTTTTTTTGCCCTGATTATAAAAAGCAGTACATAACATGATCCTCCTGAGGCAGTAGTACCATTTTCCCCATCTTATGGGTGGAAAAACTGAAGCAGAGAGAAGTTAAGTAATTGGCTTTGTCACACAGTTATAAGTGTCAGAACCAGGGCTGACCACAAAATGTGCAAGCCAGAGTCCATGCATGTCATCGCTGCATCATCCTGCTTTTTCAGTGTTAGAGTAGCCTTGCCAGGTTTTAATTTTTAAATCTAAGAGACTATTCACAATATATAGGGTAGGGTCCCTAGGCCTGGCCAGAGATCAAGGCCATCTGTGGGGCAATTGGGGGCTCTGCTGACACCCGCCTTGGCTGGCGGCCTGGCGCCACCCACTGGCCGGCCCGCCCCCCGATCGGATCGCTGCTACTGGTCGCCTCCCTCTGGGGCAGAGGGGGGAGGGGGGTGCAGACTCTTAACGCAGGAGCTGTTCCCAGTTGGGGGCAGCTCCTGAGTTGAGCGTCTGCCCCCTGGCAGTCAGTGCATGTCATAGCAACTGGTCATTCCTGCCGGCTGTTCTGCCGTTTGATCGATTTGCTTATTAGGGTTTTATTATATAGGATACTTGCTGTTATCTCTCTTGTAACCAATTATACACATTTAAGGTCAGGGTTAATGCTAAATCTCTGATCACAAAATTATTAAGGGACTTATGACTTTACTACCTGACCTAGATATGAATATCTTTACTCATAATTCTATATCCTTTAAGTATGAGTGCTTTTTTCCCTCATATCACCTTATAGTGAATGCATCTCACACAATGACAAAAAGTAATTCTGATTTTCAGATATGCACTTAAATGCTAAGATATAAATTTAATAAAAAGATTACCTGAATTTCTTGTAGACAAATTTCATAAGCATCCAAAGAACACTGTAGTCTTGGTTCTAGTAGTTTCTTTAAATTGCCTATTGGCTCATTGATGTCTATGGCCTGGCTTACACATTCACCTTGGGTGTAGGGCTGTTCTACAATGCTAAATGTTAAAGAATTTAATGGTTAAAAATTACATTTTTACCCTGAAAATTAAAGTAACAATACGCTCAAACCAAAACTGAATATCAAAACACATTTCTGGTCTTTGAAACTCATGTCTGCATAGACACCATTCATAGTGGTAGACTTATCACCAACTAGTGCTGCCAAAAGACTAAGTCCGAAGTGATACAGTGCTTCTTAAATTAGGTTATGTACAACAACACTGCAGCTCCCCATCCTGGTGAGCACACTCTCTCTCTCAGGCCATTTGCCACATCATGAGCAGCCCTACAGAGAAGCCCACGCGGTCGGGAAGTGAACAGTCATATCACCAATCTCAGGAGTGATCCTGTAAACAGATATGCTAGCCCCAGTCAATTCTTCAGATGACTATAGCCAGACTGACAGCTTAACTGCAAACACATGGAATACCCTGAAGCCAGAACTAAGTTCTGGAGTAATTTGTTGAGTAAAAGAGACATGTAGTCTCTACTGTTTCTTCTGTTAGAGAAAATAGCATAGTGAAACATGTTGAAATTCTCTATCAAAAAAATTAAGGCCCCTTGGGCAGTCATGACCTTTTCTGTCAGGAAAATGTTCCTGTGCCAGGGTATGGTGGCAAAGGATATGACCGAGGACAGCTAACGTGGAGTTTTCCTAAGAGCTAGAGCCAGACCTCTCCTCTGAGGAGGTGGTATGAGTGACCACAGCCAGCTGGCAGAAAATATGGAGAGTTGCTAAACAACTAGTATAAATCTCAATTATGCCAGATGAATAAGTTCTAGAGATCTGTGTAGAACATGGTTCTTATAGTTAAATACACAGTATTGTACATTGAAAAATTTGTTGAGGGTAGATCTCATGTTAAGCGTTCTTACCACCATAAAACAAATTTTTTAAAAAACTAAAGTCTAAAATCTTAGCTGTACTCTAAACACTCAACATTCTATTCACTCTAGTAATTTGGTCCATTCTCACTGCAGTTATTCTAAACGTTTACTATAAAGAAGTTCTCTACTACTCTTTAGTCCTTTTTACTTTCAGTGTATTAGCTCATCTCCTGCTTTACAGAATAAAGCAGGACCCTTAGCCCTAACTCTAGCCTTCTTCTTAACTCCCACATCTCTATTTTTACCCATATTCTCCCTTTGGATTCTGAAGTTACAACCACTGCCCTTCTTCCTTAATGGAGTAATATTCTATTACTATCCCAAGAACTAACACCCTTCACTACTCTATATGTTTAGTACTGTGCACATAAGTACTCATAAACCTGTATACCTTCTCAAACACAATGTGGCCTCTCCAAGGGCAGGTTACTGTCTCTTATATACTCCTGACAGTTCACAGTAGTTACGTTTAGATATTTGTTACATTAGTTCAGATTGAGAATTAAACTCTATAGGAAATCAAAATAACCAGCACAGATGAAAGAAAAAATAATCAAACAGTGCCCTGAGGGATAAAAACCATCACAATCAATTGCTTGATTACTAGCTACGCATATTACTATCTTTTTAAAAAATATATTTTTTTATTGATTTTCGAAGAGGAAGGGAGAGATAGAAACATCAGTGATGAGAGAGAATCATTGATCGGCTACCTCCTGCATGCCCCCTACTGGGATTGAGCCCACAACCCAGGCATGTGCCCTTGACCCAAAACAAACCCAGGACCCTTCAGTCCTTAGGCCAATGCTCTATCCACTGAGCCAAACCGGCTAGTGCATATTATTATCTTTTAAAACTATCTTTCCCTCCCAGCTACAAATTCTTTAAGTCAGAGTAAAAAGCAATACATTATCCCCCAAAATGCTAATGTCAGTTGGAAAAAAAAAAGGCCCCCAAAAAACTCTGGCTTGATTCTTAATTTTAATGTATGTGGATAATATATAAATTCAGATAATACCAACCTTTCTTCTGTGCATTCTGTTTTCTCTGTTCCATCAATTTCAATTTCTATCAGCTCCTCTGCTTCTCTTTTTGTCATGGTTGAAGTACTTCAAAGCTCAGCCCTGTAAGAGTTAAATTTTAAGACATTTTAAAATTATCTGCACAAAAGAAATGCTACACAAGAAGTAGAGATCCAATTCAAATAAAAGCAGAGAGTAAGTAGAACAAAAGGAAGTAATCTTCACACATAAAAGAAAATCCACATGATACTGATAAACTAGTTTTGTTTTACATGGTGTTTATTAGCCTGACATGAATTCTTCATCGTTCTATTGAATTTATTGGGATTTGTTCAGCCCAATCTCAGTCAATAAATTAACTCAAGTTACTTCAGAATCAAATGAAAGGTATGTCAACTATATTATAACAACGTCAGTCTCAATAACAGATTCAAACCTGCAGCTTAAAAATCAACATAGAGCCCTGACCAGTTTGGCTCAGTGGATAGAGCGTTGGCCTGCGGACTGAAGGGTCCCGGGTTCAATTCCGGTCAAGGGCATGTACCTTGGTTGCAGGCACATTCCCAGTAGGGGGTGTGCAGGAGGCAGCCATTCGATGTTTCTAACTCTCTATCCCTCTCCCTTCCTTTCTGTAAAAAATCAATAAAATATGTATTTTTTAAAAAGATTAAAAAAAGATCAACATAGAGATGAACCACTATTGTTTACCTAAAAGCTGTACTGTATTAGCAGGATGAAGAATGTACTTTATTAGCATTGTACTGATAGAGTGATATAAAATTAAAGTTAATCCTAGCTATGATTTGTTACAAATTACATATCTTGTAAGTGCCAGTATAATATTCTGAAACAGCAAAATCAAGTAACAACATAGTTACCGATATGTATATTGTTGTATTATATTGAACTACTACATTACTGTAAGACTAGAAAAGTCTTCTTTTCCACTTCAGAAAGGGCTATACCTCTCCTCAGGCCTATAATTAGCTGGCACTCAAATCGAGAATGCCTGGTATAAAAATGGTCTGATTTTCCCCACATTATTAAGGTTGCTCCCACATCCTCTTATATGAAGACCAGTAAGAGGCTGAGGTTCTCCAGCAGAATAAATACATATAATGCACCTCTAGCAGACTGCCTAGGCCAGTGATGGCGAACCTTTTGAAAAATGGTGGCGTGCCAGCATTTTGAAAAACCCTAACTTAACTCTGGTGTGGTGTCACATATAGAAATTTTTTGATATTTGCAACCATAGTAAAACAAAGACTTATATTTTTGGTATTTATTTTATATATTTAAATGCCATTTAACAAAGAAAAATCAACCAAAAAAATGAGCTCGCATGGCACCTCTGACACGCGTGTCATAGGTTCGCCATTGCTGGTCTAGGCCCTGGCCAACTTTTGCTTTCTTTTGTTCTGACCCTAGCTTAGCAGAACTTCCCTTTCCCTAATAAAGGCTATTCCTTAACACACTATTTGTAAAATTATGTTATTTATCTTGCGCACTAGATCAAAACAGGTGGTGACCCTGTAGGACAACATAACCTCCACCTGGTTTGAAGGGATATTAGTATGTTTACAGATGTATACAAAATACTTTTAACAGTACTTCACTCTTAGTAGGCACTCTATTAGATGAAATGTTTTAGAAACTATCATCCTATATAATAAATGCCTAATATGCTAAGTGTCCAGTGGACCGGTCACTATGATATGCTAATGATATGCTAAGGCCGTTCAACTGCTCACTGATGTGCACTGACCACCAGGGGGCAGTCAACTGGTCGACTAGTTGCTATGACACGCACTGACCACCAGGGGGCAGACACTCCAATCAGGTTAGCTTGCTGTTGAGGTCCAGCAGATTAGACTGAGTGAGTTGGGCCCGTCACGCCCTGGAGCCCTCCGGCAGTCCATCCCCGGCTGGCCAACCTCCTGTGTCTCTCCCTGGCCCCAATCCTGCACTGGTGGGGTCCCATGGCCTGGCCTCCGCCCTCTCACAATCCGGGACCCCTGGGGGGACGTCAGAGAGCTGGTTTCGGCCCAATCCCGCAGGCCAGGCCGAGGGACCACACTGGTGCACGAATTCATGCACTGGGCCTCTAGTACCCCATATAAAATTGACTCCAGGTCCCCTAAAGCAGCGGTTCTCAATCTGTGGGTCACGACCCCTTTGGGGATCGAACGACCCTTTCATAGGGGTCGCCTAAGCCCATCAGAAAACACATATATAATTACATATTGTTTTTGTGATTAATCACTATGCTTTAATTATGTTCAATTTGTAACAATGAAATCGGGGGTCACCACAACATGAGGAACTGTATTAAAGGGTCGCAGCATTAGGAAGGTTGAGAACCACTGCCCTAAAGGCTTAAATGTGAAAGATACAACTATAAAGCTAATAGAAGAAAATAGTGGGGATTTTATGGTTTAAGAATAAAAAACAATTTGTTAACATTCCAAAAATTAAACCATAAGAAAAAAACTAATGTATTTGATTATATAAAAATTAAGATTTATGTTCAATAGACAGGATAACGACTAAGAAAAGATACTTTCGATATCCAAAAGTGACAAGGGAATAACTGGAATAGACAGCAAATTCCTGCAAATTGGTAACAATCCCCCAAAAGTCAGGACAAATTAGAAAAGCAGGTCAAGTATAGGAAAAGGAAAGTAACAGAGAAAACCAAAATGGTTAAGGATATAAAGAAATGTTCAAACTCAAATCATTCAAAAATGCAACTTAAAACAAAAACTTTATACCTTGAGTGTGTGTGTGTGAAAAATGTAGTGTTGAATACTGAAAAGGATAAGCAGGGATGTGGAGCCATAAGAATCCTCTGCTTCTGTAAAGTACAGACAGGTCCAGCTATTCTGGAGAAAAATCTAGATTCTAACAGCACTTGCTCAAATCAAGTATGCTAATACCTGTGACCCAGCACGTGCCCTTAGATAAGCATTCCAGAGATATTGATTGATAAGGACGTTCAGAGTAGCTCTGTTGGGGATAGCTGGAAGCTGGAGCCAATAAAAGTATCCATGGTGCCTTAGCCAGTTTGGCTCCGTGGATAGAGCTACGGACTGAAGGGTCCAGGGTTCTATTCTGGTCAAGGGCACATGCCTGGGTTGTGGGCTCAGTCCCCAGTGTGGGGCATGCAGGAGGCAGCCAATCGGTGATTCTCTCTCATCACTGATGTTCCTGTCTGTCTGTCTGTCTGTCTCTCTCTCTCTCTCTCCCTTCCTCTCTGAAATCAATAAACATATATTAAAAAAAAATAAACCAGTAGTAAGAAAGTACTGAGATGTAAGAAAATGTGAAAGCAGCAGACACCATGAAACTTTAGTAGCAGTTAAAAACAAGGAAATAATGTACACACACAGAATCACAGAGTGGGCCCTCTCTCTAGGGAGCCCCTGCCTTGCTTACCTTTCCCCTCCCCCTCTTGGCCCCGGGCAGGTTACCATTAACTTCCTCATTCCCAAGCTCCTGGGGCCCTTCCTTTACTAAGTGGTTCTCAACCTTCCTAATGTCTCGACCCTTAATACAGTTTCTCATGTTGTGACCCAACCATAAAATTATTTTCGTTGCTACTTCATAACTGTAATTTTGCTACTGTTATGAATCGTAATGTAAATATCTGATATGCAGGATGTATTTTCATTGTTTGCGACCCACAGGTTGAGAACCGCTGCAAGTTTACTTCTATAACTTGTTTCCTAAGCCCATTACTTCTAGGAATTACTGTTTCTATCTCTGTAATATACCCAATAAATGTTCTCTTACCAAAAAAAGAAAAAAATATATAAAAAGTGTTGTGTACTGAAATAGTGAGAAACAGTAAGGTTGATAGCAGAACAGAACTTTTAAAAGGTATTTTTGTTTTATTTTCAGGGCCTATAAAGAGGTCCACTCCTCTCTCCATAACCAATTTTATTTTTTAAAAGGTTAGGAAACAATTGAATTTTCCCAGAACTTTGGGAAAAATAAAAAAGTATATGAAAAAGTAAGCAGAGGCCAAGAAATGGCCCTAAATTAGGGCTTATCAGCAGGGTTACCTGTGTTCCCCATAATATAAGCACTAAAACAGGGACTTGTTAAAAAGAAATTTATCCTGTGATCTTCCAAAAAAGTTAGAGATCAGTCCCTAGAAGGTGCTCCCCCCCCCCCCCAGCCAAAAAAAACACCCATATACTTTAGAAAAAAATACTCAGTCTCTAAATTGATCCTTTTCTCTGTCTCAGGTCTCTAAATTTAGCCTTGAAAGTAAGAGAGATTGGGAAACGGTCCAGATCGCTGATGTCACTACTTGAGTGAGTCTTAGCTCTTTTTCTGGAATCAGGATTCTTTTACAAAACTTAGTGGAGAAGAGAACATCACTTGGAGCCTTTCCACCTAAGGGCTGCCCTGGTTTCTCCCAGATTAAATCTCACCTGGGGTTCAGAACCCTTCACAAAATGGAAATAAACTAAAAAGTCCAGAAAAGGCTAGTATTCTTTAAAATACAGTTACATTTAATATTCTCCCTTGGAGCTACAGATAAACTTGAGAATTAGCCTGGCTGGTTTGGCTCAGTGGATAGAGCACCGGCCTGTGGACTGAAGGGTCCTGGGTTCGATTCTATCAAGGGCACATGCCAGGTTGAAGGCTCGATCCCCAGTAGGGGGCGTTGCAGGAGGCAGCTGATCAAGGATTCTCATCATTGATGTTTCAATCTCTCCCTCTCCCTTCCTCTCTGAAATCAATAAAAATATATTAAAAAAACAAAACTTGAGAATTAGTCTTCTTCACTGGAAAACATTATTAGTTTGGGACAACTTTTCCCAGTAAGGGCAATATTTATATGTAATATTTACCTATATTTAACATACAACATGTATTAAAAATACACAAAATGTGCATTTAATATATGTAAATGTAATCTACGAGTACCTACCTGATTAACTGAACATTTTCTCAAACTAAAAAATACTGTTAGATACCTGAATGAAAAAGTTTTTGTTTTTAAAAATAAAGTCAACAGCCCAGTGTGGCTCGTTGTAGCCCATGCAACAGGAGGCCACAGGCGCCATCCCAGGCAGACACCTGCCAGGGTTTCCGCTCGAACTCCATTGGTGGGACTGGAGGCAAGAGCTTGTCCAAGGATGATGTTTCTCCCTCTCCCCTTCTCCCTTCCCTTCTCCAAAATCAATAAAAAATATATATTTTAAAAATAAAATTGAAAGTTAGGGAAAAAAGTAAAACGTGTATTTGTGTGTGTGTTTGCAGAGAGAGGGAAAGCTAATAGTCGCTGACTTCCCCCACCAGGTGAAGGCGTTCACTGTATAATTTCATTGTATAATTTTTCAAGTTTCCCGTAGATTTGAAATTTTACAAACAAAACTGGAGAAAAATGAAAGAGGTTTAATTTAGCATTCAGCCCCCACATCCTCTTATGAACAGCCCCGATTTAGCATCCAGTTCGGTAGCTACCCTCCTCCTTCAAGACCCTCTGCCCCTCCGGACACGCAGTCCTGTCTGCCCTGCGGTCCAGGTGGACCGACCTCAGCCCGCCTCGTCCGAACACAGATCAGGCTGCAACGTCCGGATCAAACCCCGAGGCAGGGGCCGATCCCGTACAGCGGTTCGGGGGGAGCGGATCCGTTTCTTTTGAAGTTTCGGACAACACGGCGCTGGCAGGACTAGCGCTGCCCGGCTCCTCGCTCTGCGGGAGGGAGTCCCCCATCCCTGCTCCCCGCACGGGCGGGACCACGCGTGCTTCCCAGGGACTGACCCTCACGCCCGGCCGTGCACGGCCTTCCCCGCCCGCCACCCCGTAAAACCGGGGCCCCACCTACAAGACGGGGCGAGCGGCTCCCTCCAGCCCACACCCGCACCACAAAGTTTGGGCAACTACACGGGACCCAGCATTTCCCC